CACTTTCAGCAAGCAAAGTTGTATCGTCTGCATATCTCAGGTTGTTAATGATTCTTCCTCCAATCCTGATACCACGTTTTTCTTCATATAGTCCGGCTTCTCGGATTATTTGCTCAGCATATAGATTGATCTTCTATATGGTGGGATGGTAAAATGGTACAACCACTATGGAAAGTAGTATGGTGCTTCCTCAAAAGCTAGAAACAGAAGTACCTTATAATCCAGCAATCCCATTCCTAGGTATATATCCTAGGATATAACAGCAATGACATGAATGCAAATGAACATCTGTGTACCTATGTTCACTGCAACATTATTCACGATAGCAAAAAGACGGAAACAGCCTCAGTGCCCATCAGCGGATGAATGGAGAAACAAACTGTGGTACCCATGTACAACAGGATACTACACAACCATGAAAAATACAGAAGTCTGTGAAACATAACATGGATGAATCTGGAGGAGATTATGCTGAGTGAAAAAGCCAGCTGCAAAAAGACAAATACTGTGTGGTCCCACTGTTATAAAAAGTCAAGAATAGACACACAGAAAGCAAACTTTGTTGATGATTACCAGGGATGAGATAGAGATGGAAGAGGAGTCAACTTTCTAGATAATAGCTACTTAGTAATTTTGGTGATGGGAAAGGCAGTCCCCAATTGGGTTGGAGTCAGTATGATTTACCCATAGTAAATAAAGACACTAAGAAGTATGTGGGGCAAAGGGACAATTTTGGTAAATGCTATAACATATACAATTTGCAACAACAGTAAAAACCAAGAAATATGTGTATGGTTACATAGGTAGATAGGGATGTGTATAACTACAGAAAGGCATATATGAGTAAATGCACATGCATATATGGGAGTATCTGTAGGCATGTGTATATACAGCTTTGTGTATACTGCATGTATATCCACATACATAACAAACCTCACAGAGGCATAGTTATGGAGGCTTCCTAGACATGTCCAGACAACTCATGGGATTAGTTTACTTGGTTAGAAGGCTTGGGACCCTAGTCTTAGAGGACAGCTTAGTCAATTGGCAAAATAACATAGTTGACCTAGGTAATAATTCTACATCCTAGTTTGGTCAGAAACATGTGGGGCCTTAAAAGCTTGCAAGTAGCTATCTAGTAAGATACAACTATTGGTTTCTACTTGTATGGAGCAAAAGAAAATGAAATCAAGGGCTCATAGAAAAAACTAGTCCACTTGACTGGTAGCCCACACAAACCAGAGCCTTTTCTAACCTGAGACCAGAAGAAATAAATGGTGCCCAGCTACCACTATCATCTGTTCTGACAAGGTACACAGCAGAAAGTCCCAGATAAAACGGGAAAAAAATGTAAAACTCAAATTCCTAGAAGAGCCAAGACCTACTGTACTAAGAGAGACTAGAGGAACCCCTGAAACTGTCACCCTAAGATACTCTCTGAACTTGAGAATTGAAGCTGTTTCTGAAGGTAACCTTTCAGTCAAGTAATAGATTGGCTTATATAAAAAAGATTATAGACATGAGTGAGCACAGTGCCACAGCCATGTAACCATATCAGATACCAATTATTTAGTAGTTACAGAGAGTCCCTGGGTGGTTCACTCAACTGCTAACCCAAGGGCATTTCGGACCACTCCAAAGTGCCTTGGAAGAAAGGCTTGACAGTCTGCTCTTAAACGGTCATGGTCTTGAAAACCCTTTGGAGCAGTTCTTTTCTGCACACGTGGGGTCGTCGGAGTCAACTCGACAGCAACAGCAAAACCAGCAGAGTTAGGAGACCCGAGGATGTCATTTCCCTTCCCTCCGTGTGATGGCTCCATAGCCAGAGAAACCTTTGTAAGAGTGAGCCAGAGAAAAAAGGAGATAAGTTCTTTCCTGTCCAAGACCTTTCCCATTGAGTACTAACAGGAAGGTAAGGAGATGGACACGCAACAATGTAAACCCACATCTATTGCTATCAGGTCAGTTCTGACTCCTGGAGACCCTATGGGACAGAGTAGAACTGCCCCATAGGGTTTCCAAAGCTGTAATCTTTACAGAAGCACACTGACACATCTTTCTTACATCAAGTGGCTGGCTGGTGGGTTCAAACTGCTGACCTTTTGGTTAACAATAAGACCCTCTCTTAAAGGCTAGCTATGAGTCAGAATCCACTCGATGGTAGTGGTTTTGGTTTGCTTTGATTATATAGATGAGGAAACTGAGACACAGAATAAGCAATTTCCCTGGAGTCATACAGCTCCTAAGTAGCAGAGCCAGAATTTGAACCTAGGTGGTCTTGACTCCAGCCCTGTCACCCTTACACAGCACTTCATGTCTCTTTTTTTTTTGGCTTTTCAACTCTTTTTTTTTATTTTTTTTTTATTAGGATTTGGGTGAAGATTTACAGAGTAAATGCACTTTTCATACAGCAGTTCACATATACTTTGTCTCATGTCATTGACCAAAATTTACAATGCAGCAGCTCTCCTCCCACTTCCTCCCCATAGTTACCTCCTCCCAGTGTCCATCCCTTCATACTCTTCGAGAGGCCCATTGTCTGCCAACCCTGTATATGATCTTGGATACACTCTCCATTTAGACATACATAATTGTTTAGCTTGTTCACCCATCTATCCGTCCCTATACCCATGTTTGCTTTCATTAACAACTCAGTATTGTATTTACAAAGGGGTTCATATTTGTTGTTTGTACTGCCCATGTAACTCTCTCTGTCTTTCTCATCCTCAATGCTGCCATATTGGTCACTCACATTTGGTACATTGCCCTTCTCTTCACCCAAATCAATATTTATCTCTATCTATCTAACAGCATTCCCTCCCCTTCCCTCCCACCCCTGGTAACCAACAAAGAAAATGTCCTCCAATATATAAACATTTCCTTAACTTTTACTTCATGTCTCTTTTGAAGAAGTTAGAATATACGTGTGTAGTCCCTGGGTGATGCAAAGGGTTAACATGCTTGGCTGCTAACCAAAAGGTTGGCAGTTCGAGTCCATCCAGAGGTGCCTCAGAAGAAATTCCTGGCAACTGGGTTCTGAAAAATCAGCCGTGGATAGTCCTACAGAGGACAGTTCTACTCTGACCTGCCTGGAGTCACCATGAGTCAGTCGGCTCCACGGTACATGGTTACTGTTACTCCATCCTTGCTGACCTGGAGTTGCTGCTGCTCAAGTTCAGTTAGGAGCCCTGCTGGCGCAGTGGTTAAATGCTCAGGTACTAACCGAAAGGTTGACACTTCAAAACCATCAGCAGTTCAGTGGAAGAAAGACCTGGTAATCTGCTCCAGTAAAGATTACAGTCTGTGGAGCAGTTCTGCTCTGGCATGTGGGCTTGCTATGAGTCAGAATTGACTTGACAGCAACAGGTTTGGTTTTATTTTCATGTTAAGAGAAAGGAGCCTTGATGGTGCATTCGGTAAGCACTCAGCTGCTAACCAAAGGGTCAGCACTGCAAATCCACCAACAGCTCCACAAAAGAAAAACCTGTCAGTGGCACCTGTAAACATTACAGCCTAGGAAACCCTATGGGGCAGTTCTTCTCTGTCCTATAGGGTCTCTCTGAGTCAGAATTGCTGATTTTATTCTCATGTTAACAGAACGAAAGGAGTCCTGGTGGCACAGTAGTTAATCACTCAAACTGAAAGGTCGGCAGTTCAAACTCATCTGGCAGCTCTGTGAGAGAAAGATGTGGCAGTCTGCTCCCATAGAGATTATAGCCTAGGAAACCTATGGGGCAGTTCTGTGTCACTGTCAGTCAGAACTGACTCAGTGGGCCCCAGCAACACAAAGTACATGTAGTTTAAGACAGATGGGCTGTCTCAGCTTCTCTGAGGGTCCTGGGTTTCATTCATTGTTCTGAAAGCAAATTCTAACTGCAGATATTTTGACTATACAAGGCCTGGCTCCTTGAGCTGTAAGGAGTCTATATATAGATGGCTGATGGTGCGGTGTTGTTTTTGGCAGCGCTTCTGTCTGAACACCCTCCAGCATGAGTGGTTCCGCATATCCAGTCAGAAGTCAGCTGTGCCAGCCATGGTGGGGGACTACATCGCCGCCTTCGAGGCCATCTCCCCTGACGTCCTCCGTCACATCATCAACATGGCCGATGGCAACGGCAACACAGCCCTGCACTACAGCGTGTCACACTCCAACTTCGAGATAGTGAAGCTGCTCTTGGACGCAGGTACGTGGCCACCAAGTTCCTGCTCAGCTGCCCTTGGGTTGGGATTCACCCAAAGAAGCCAGTTGATCCATCTTGAAGTCTGTGTGTGTGTGTGTGTGTGTGTGTGTGTTAAAAATAAAATAAAATAAATTGCCAATATTGAGAATTGAAACAGTCTTACAAGAATCCAGATTTCTGGCTACTGTTATAAAATCAGGGTATCTGGTAAAACTAGGACTGGCTTCTCTAACGTAGTTGACTGAAGCCAAATGGGTTGCCAGCTTGTGCACTGAGAGCGGTGTGGCTTTTCCCTGAATCTGCCCCACGTGTCCTCTTTTGGGTTGCTAGCCTGGGTCCTGTGTTACCAGCTGTCCTCTGTTTGAGGCGGGGCCTGGCCTCAGTCAATCTCTGCAGGGAGCAGACCACATCAAAGTCTTTTCGTGGCCATTGTACAGCTGCATTGCAAAGTGGGTTCTCAGTCATGGTGGGAGGCTGACACTTCAACAGAACTGGGTTGGCGTGGAGATCAGGGTTTGGGGATCTTCACACTGCAGTTCAGCTGCTTTGGGGCAAGGTATCCCTGTTGGTGAACTTGACTCATGTACCCTCCTGAGTGGAATCACACAGGAGGGGCTGACAGCTCACAGGGGCAGAGACACAGGTCTCAGGTGTTTGGGCCACTCATGTCGTCCTTGCTCTGTGATTGCTTTGCATAGTTGCGAGGTTAGTCAAGGTGGGGGTAGAGCAAAGCCACCATAACAGGTTTTGGTAGAATTACCACCATTCCCTCCACAATATGCTATGTTACTAGGAACTTAGCATAGAACTCACCTCTGTCGAGCTATGTAACAAGAAGAGTGGAAACTTTTGTCTCAAAACGGGACTTGCCATCCCAGAATATAGCCAATGGATGTATTAAATGTGCAGTGAGGGAGTGGTCCATGGAAGGGTACCTGGAGGCGTTCTGTTTAAATGGAACTGCCCAATGGGAAAGTTGGGATAAACTCTCCAAATCACACTTGTTTTGTTTTGTTTTATCATGTGCAGTAAAATATACTCATACCCATTGTCATTGAGTTGATTCTGACTCATTGTGACCCTGTAGGATAGGGAACTGCCCCATGGAATTTCCAAGGCTGTCCTTTTTACAGAAGCACACTGCCACATCTTTCTTCCATAGGGCAGCTGGGGGCTTCAAACCACCATTTTCGGTTAGCAGATGAGTGAACTGCCGTGCCATCAGGGCTCCTTGAACTTAAAATCTGCTGTGTCAGCCTTTTTTAAGTGTACTGATCAGTGGCTTTGATTACATTCAATAGCATTGTGCACTTATCACTACTATTTACTTCCAAAATTTCCTCCTCACCCCAAACAGGCTTCTGTTGCTTCAGGTTTGAAGAAATAGGGAAAAAAGAAAAAAAATTCCCACCTCTCCCATTTCCATCCGAATCTCTCTGATTTTTACACGTCACTGGGCTCTTCTAGACGCCGTACCTCATGTTCACACCCACAACTGCTGCCACTAGTAGGGGGCTTCTTCTATTGGCAGGTGCCGTTGGGTCAGCTGTGATTCACAGCAACCTTGTGGACAACACCAGAAAACACTGCCCAGTCCCTGTGCCACCTTCACAACTGTTGCCATGTTTGAGCCCATTGTTGCAGCTGCTGTGCCAGTGCATCTCATTGAGGGTCTTCCCTTTTGTCACCGACCCTCTACCAACCATGAAATCCCTCCCCAGGGACTGAGCCCTCCTGATACTATGACTAAAATACGAGAGTCAAAGTCTCGCCGTGTTTCTTTGCAGATGTGTGTAACGTGGACCACCAGAACAAGGCGGGGTACACCCCCATCATGCTTGCAGCACTGGCTGCCGTGGAGGCTGAGAAGGACATGAGAGTCGTGGAAGAACTCTTCGCCTGTGGGGACGTGAACGCCAAAGCCAGCCAGGTCAGCCGGCGTGTGTCTGAGCAGTGGGCAGCAAACAGACTTGATTTTTGTTTGTTTTCTTATTGTGGTAAAAATATATGTAACAAAACGTTCCCAACTTGGTAATTTTTACACACACAGCTCAATGACATTGATTATATCCATCATGCTGTGTGGCCACCACCACTGTTCTTTTGCAAATTGCTCCACTGCCTTTACACGTAATTCCATGTCCCCTCCTCTCCTCCCCTCCCCCAGCACACACCCAGCCCTGCCAGGCCTCTCTGTGTTCTTTGATGTCACTGTCATTTCTCTGCATAGGCAGGACAGACTGCTCTCATGCTGGCGGTCAGTCATGGGCGCATAGACATGGTGAAGGGCCTGCTGGCCTGCGGAGCCGATGTCAACATCCAGGATGACGAGGGCTCCACCGCCCTGATGTGCGCCAGCGAGCACGGGCACGTGGAGATCGTGAAGCTGCTGTTGGCCCAGCCTGGCTGCAATGGCCACCTGGAGGACAATGTAAGCCATCACCAGGGGGGCCTCCATGGGAGGAGCACAGGAAGGGGAGCCCTATGACTTCTGTCACCTGTTCTCCTCGTGCATTTGTGGTGTCATCTAGGCCACCCCCATTCACTGTCCAGCTTGGCACAGTGCCTATTGTGTGCACACTAATAATGTTGAAAGCTTTATGTGCCTATAAAGTAAAATGTGCATTGTACCTGCTGTGTGCAAACGAATACTTTCCAGGTAGGACTGTTCTCTGTAAGGTTTTCTGTGGCTGATTTTTCAGAAGGAGATCACCAGGCCTTTCTTCTGAAGCACTCTGGGTGGACTCAAACCCCCAACCTTTCAACAAACAGCTGTAATGAGTATAATGAGTGACACCCAGGGTTGTCATGTGCACATTAGCTAAGCCAATGGCAGAAACATAAATAAGTCTCCCCAAAAAATCCATAAAATGAAGAAGGACATTTGATGGCCATAAACAGGAACCAACAGACTAAAAGGAGGTAAACAGATTTACCATGCAGAATCCAGTTTCCAGCAGGCAACCTCTGAGTAGTGCACTAAGAAGTGAGGCCCAGGTCTCCGTCTCTTGAGGTATCTACATTATTCTTCCCTAGAAGTGGGGCCCATATGTGACTGGAGCCCGTTAGTATTACAGCTAAGCACTTTCCCACCCAATTAAATGAAAGGAGGTGCCCCATGGTGGCCCATTCAAGAGAATAACTTGGGATGTCTCATAAGCTAGGGAATCCAGTCAGCCTGGCTTCCTTTAAGCATGTTTCCCCACTCAGTCTGTTCTGACACACACATCACATTGTCATCACTTATGCCTCCTCCCAGTTCCCAGGCCACACACATACCTTTCCTAGATAGCCCCTTTGACTGGGAAACATTCCAAGGAAAGGGGATACTTCTGGGTGGTTCCCGGCCCAGGGTGATGGCAGGAAGGCTCAGGAACTAGCATTCGGGCAGTAAATGAAGTGTTCAGAGGCCATGGGGCTGGGCTGAGTTGGTGTGTTTCTCCAAGCTTGTGTCTGTAGAGCACAGGCTTGAACCAAGGCTTCCTTTAGCTCATAACACCACAAAGTTAGAAGGCATGCTCCTGTGCACTAAACTTCATATCCCAGGGAGCCCAGACCAACAGGAAGAGCAGCCCAGTGGCAGCTCCTGCTGGCTTAGAGGGCTCAGCAGCTTCCACAGTTTCTGCTCCCCCATGCAGGCAACACAGGTTTGTCTGTACCCATTCCCTTCACTGCCCCCTGAGGGGAGGTAGAACTCCAGCTTCACCTTTCTCCAAGGACAGTGTGTGTGAGAGGTGTGGTTTGTTTGTAGTTTGCTGCTTTTTATTTCTACTCTCCCTCATCAAAGAACAACTCATAGATAAAGTCATACACATTGCCATCGAGTCAATTCCGACACATCCTGAACTTTTAGGACAGAGTAGAACTGCCACCTGGGGTTTTCCAGGCTGCAATCTTTATGGAAGCAGACTACCTCATCTTTCTCCTACGGAGTGGCTAGTGAATTCAAACCGCTGACTGTTCAGTTAACAGCCAACACTTACTGTGCCACCAGGGCTCCTAGGTATAGTCATAAGGAGCCACAGTAACTTCCAGAACTCCAGGCAACCTTAGCTAATTGTCTTCTTTATCCTTAAAAGAATAGGGGTACACCCTGCTTATTTCCAAAGAAAAGCAGCTCCCAGAATTCAGTGTGGGAGGGAAGAACCCCAAGATTCAAACTACACAGACTGTTTCCTGCTGCTAATGACCAAAGGGGAAAAACCAAGACAGCTGCCATGGAGTCATTTCTAACTCACAGTGACCTCACATGTGTCAGAGTAGAACAGTGCTCCACAAGGCTTTCAGTGGAGGACTTTTTGAAAGTAGATCACCAGGTCCTTCTTTTGATGCAACTCTAAGTGAACTCAGACCTCCAGTCTTCAAGTTGGCAGCTGAGCACTTTAACCACTGTCACCACCCAGGGACTCCACCTAGCACTTAGAGATCCACAGAGTTCCCTAAGAACTGAACAGCTGGTTAGATGGACATGTGAAACCTGATCTGCTGCTGGAGAGGATTGGTTTTGTTTACCCTTGGGCTGTCTGGAAGTCTCAGAAACCTACCTTGGCTTTTTCTTTCCACCTTCAGGATGGCAGCACAGCACTTTCCATAGCCCTGGAAGCTGGACACAAGGACATCGCAGTTCTCCTCTATGCCCACGTGAACTTCGCAAAAGCCCAGTCTCCGGTCAGTGTCATGTGTTTGGCCTGTAAATAGGTTAAAGTCCACCAGACAGGCGGGCCCCCTTCCATAGAGAACTGACAGGAGGCATGGGCTTTATGAGGGTATTGAAAATGGAATTTTTAGTCTGGCTGCTTGCCTACCCAAAGGCCAGGGTGTTAAGGGTCAGCCCTGCTTGTCCTTAGCATGGAGATTTTTATTCCCTGCTAAACTGTCCCAGTGGGCACCCTGAGTATGTGATTCCATCTTGCCATGTTCCTTGCATTTCCACCAAAGCATAGAGTGGGTAGCCTCTGTGTGGACATAAACCTTCAACCTTCCAGTTAACAGATGACTGTTTAGCTGGCTCTGGCTCTGTGTTTTGTGACATATATTTTTACCACAATTTGAAAAAAGAAAAGGGTGGAAGCATATCTTTAAATGAAGCAGCATGGCAGGCAAAATGTAAGCTAGGTGATTTGGCACCGTTGCTGGGGGCCAGCCTGTGTGGGGAGAGCCAGGTGCAGTAGAGGACGATCACTGAGGCCCTTCTTGAAACACCTCTTCATCATTGTTGTGGTTTGACCATTATTGAGTGAGGAAAGAGGGCAGGGAATATGTATCACCAAGTCCCTGGCAGTTTTTCCTAAGAATGTGTCATCACAGGCTCACATCTGAATACTCGCTCTTACCGGGAACGTGACTCCCCAGAACCATGGGGTGGGCACTGCCAGTCTACTGCTGCTGGCCCATACTCCCAGAGCTCTCCTATGTCACACAGGACACACCTCCCCAAGACTGCATGGCCAGAGCAGCTGTGGAAGTTGATTCCGACTCATGGTAATCCCATATGTGTAGAACTGCTCCATAGGGTTTTCTTTCTTTCTCTCTTAATCAAAATCAGTTTAATGGTTAGTTACTAGCACTTTCAAAAAACAAACGATATAAATGATCAGATAGCACCGCACTTAACACAAAGCATTTTTCAGTGAAACTTGTTTCAGATGGAGGGTGGTAGAGTACTGACAGTGATATAAAATGTGTTTTGGGGTTTCTTTGGGTTTTTTCCTGCACATTTTATTGTTTTAATTAATTTTGCCTTCTGCTGTCATTGAGAATATTCACAGCAGAACATACACCAACCTAGCAGTTTCTCCATGTACAGTTCAGTGCCATTGATGACATTCATTCTTCAAGTTGTGCAACCATTCTCACCCTTCTTTTCTGAGTTGTTTCTCTTCCATGAACATAAACTTACTGCCCTCTAAGTTTCCTTTCTATCTTATGAGTTGCTTTTGTCAGTTTGGTTCCATATGGATAGACCTTAAAAGAGCTTATCCTTAGCATGGAGATTTTTATTCCCTGCTAAACTGTCCCAGTCTGCTCAAGGCAGACATTCTTTACTAGTTAAGCTCAACTGCTGTTTGGTTTTGAGAGGACTTCAGGGGACATCTTTGATTTAAGGTTTAAAGATTAGATCAGGGCAGTGGTTTGGGGATTTATCACTGGCTCATAGTGTTTTCAGTGGATGGTTTATTGATAAATTGCCAGACTTTTCTTCTGAGGCATCTCTGGATGACCTTGAACCTTCAACCTTTTGATTAGCAGCTGAACACGTTAACCACTTGGACCATCCAGGGCCTCTGAGGTCACTTATTAACCACTCATTTTTCTCCTTCCTTGGACTCTAGGGCACCCCAGACTCATTTTTCTCTTTCCTTGGACTCTAGGGCACCCCTCGGCTTGGAAGGAAGACGTCTCCTGGCCCCACCCACCGAGGCTCCTTTGACTGATTGCATGCACATTGCCCTCCATGGACGTGCCACCATCAAGCCACTCAGTGTTCCTGTTTGCAGTGACACATTCTGAACATATATGTCTTGGACCAGTGCTCAACAGCAAACAGAACACAGAAAGCCACGGGCCACAGGAGCTGGCCAAATGGGGCACCCACCACCCCCGTCAGGCCCACTCCCATCTGTGCGGGATACACTTTAACTCAAGTCTCTATTGCGGTTGAGTCCCTGCTCCGTTATGTACTGGTGTAGGGAATCCTAACCTGACCTGACTGGGCAACTGGTTTACCCTCCCCACCCCTAAGCACCCTGACAAGTGCTGGGTTTGCTTTGCCATTGGGATCTTGGCCTCTTCCACCAATATTTATATTTACTAAATGAGGAGCCATTGGAAATCTCTTCCAAAACTCCATACTAGAAGGATTCTTCTTTTATCTTTACATTTGAAAGAAAGAAAGTTGAGATGACTTTGATCATTGGCAACTTTGGCCCCGGCTGGTGGGTGTCTGGTTTAAAAGAGAAGCCGGAACCCTCAAAAAGTATAAAACTCTCGAAAGGAGCTCTGGGCAGTTGGTTTGCTCTGGGTGGATGTATATAATAGGACATTTTATCTGAAAGGCATCTACAGAAAGGTGACACAAGATTTTCACTTTATTTTCCATAGTAACTAAAGACACGAAAATCTACATGTAACACGAGCATATTTTTATGAATAAGTGCACAACCCCACCTGTTTCAGGGATCCAGGCTGAGTTGTGTTGGAGGAACTGGCTCATATCTGCCTCTGGGGACACTTAGCAGAGCTCTTTGTATTTATGGATGCCTTACTACCTGGTCACAGGTACCTTGATCCTATATGTATTTAAACGTTTGAAGTGCCTTAGACTCTTGCCATATTTTCAAAATAAAATTTCATTAAGCTCTTTTCCCTGGAGCCCTGCTTCATCTCTGACAGCAGGCTGCCCCGATCCCATTGACTTGCAGCGGCGGCAACAAATGCAGATGGATGGACGGTGGTGGCAAGCAGGAGCAGTCTCCTGCTCTCAGGTGCTGGCGTGGGTGGCGTCTTCAGAGAACATTCCCTGCTTGCCACTGCATTACTTGTTACTCAGATGGCGTGACATGGGGCTGGAATTTAGGACTTTGCTAGGAAAAGAGCTCCTCAGGTTCCCTGAGGACGCTTCTCAATCAACACAAGTCCTTGATTCAAATTTTAGGCACCACTGCTGGGTGATGGTTTGAAACCTACAGTGTTGAGAAGGAAGAGGTGAAGCAGACAGACCCTTGATCTCAGTAGCTATTTTGAAGTCTTGTAAAAAAAAAAAATAAAGGAATGATGGAAAATTTTAGGAACAGATAAGGGTGATGGTTGAACAACATAATGAATGTAAAGCCACTGATGTGTGGTGAGGTTAGTTGTTAGGTGCCGTTGGGTCGACCCTGTGTACAACAGAATAAAACACTGCCCAGTCCTGTGCCAGCCTCACAGTCCTTGCTATACCTGAGCCCATCGTTATAGCCACTGTGTCAATCCATCTTGTTGAGGGCCTTTCCCTTTTTTGCTGACCTTCTACTTTACCAAGCATGATATCCTTCTCCAAGGAGTGGTCCCTTCTGACAACATGACCAAAGGAGGCAAGATAAAGTCTAGCCGTTCCCCAAGGAGAATTCTGGCTGCACTTCGGACAGATTTGTTCATTCTTCTGGCAGTCCATGGTGTTTTCAGTATTCTTTGCCAACACCACAACTCAAAAGCATCAATTCTTCTTCAGTCGTCCTTATTCATTGTCCAGCTTTCACAGGCATATGAAGCTATTGAAAACACCATGGCTTGGGTTAGGCACACCTTAGTCTTCAGAGGCATCTTTGCTCTTCACTTTAAAGCAGTCTTTTGCAGTAGATTTGCCCATTGCAATATGGTATCTGATTTCTTTTTTTTTTT